ATCATCTTTAAAGTTGTCCAAATGAAGTTCTTAGCCATGCATATTACTAATCAAAAATTATGTTTTAATATATTTACGGTAGGAAATGTACTAAATATCTTCATGGAACATGATCTTTACTTAATATCCTAATGATTTTTAGCATAAAAGAAAAAAACGATCATTTTGACCCATACACTGTTTTTTTTTTTGGCTATTGCTACAAATATACCCCAGCGACTTAAGACTGCTTTTGTGCTCCAGGGTCACATATGTGTGTGCACTGTGTATATTATGTATATATAAATACACACACATACATGCGTATATTTCAGAAAAATATTTTGTTTATATATTAAATAGATTTATACATAATATAAATTATATTAATTTTAAGTATATACATGTAAATATTTTCTAAATATATACTGTATGTGTGTGTATTTGTATGTACATAATAAATATACACAGTGCACACACATATATTATGTAAGCAAAAACTTTTATTTTGGATGCAATTAATCGCGATTTATCATTTGACAGCAGTAGGCCTAATTAATATATATATATATATATATATATATAGAGAGAGAGAGAGAGAGAGAGAGAGAGAGAAATAAATTCTACACTATTTTTAGGTGTAAATACATTACATAATTGTATTACAGTAAATTGTCAGCTTCATAACAGGCAAAGTAAACAAACTTTTTGATGGTTTCAATTAAACAAGATGCCAAATAATAGTGACTTCTGGACCCCCGTGTATACTAAATTTACCAGCTGTTGTCAGACATGGTAAAAGTTAATTTTGGACCCCATACACACACAACAAACAGCTCAGACTCCTGCGCTTGCTTCAGATACACCTTCCTCACCTTACGCCACACGCGCGCAGTACTGGAGATGTGAGAGAGGGTATAAGAGCTGTGATTTTGACTATGCATCTCACTCGGATTTCTAACTAAAGCATGCTGCAACAGCGCCTGCATGACTGCAGGCTTGTGTGGTGCGTGTGTGTGAGAGAAAGCATGTTTGTGTACATGTGATGCCTGACTACTTTCATCTGGCTTGTACATAATGTGAAATGTTTAGGGTTTTATTATTTTTTTTACTGTCGATTCCTCACGAAGGACAAAGCCAAAACTGTTTATAGCTCCCTGAACTCTCTTTATGGGGTTTCTGTTCAGCTAACAGTTAAAGTTCATTGCTTTTAATAAGCGTAAACCCCTCTCACATATCCAAAGCAAATGTATCCTGTGGACATGTCAATGAACTGTTTGAAGATGTCCCCTGTCGGTTTGTTTGCATGTAAAGCCGCATTGATGCCTTACTGTAGGCCTCTGTTTCGAACTGTACCACAGTAAAACAGAGAACGTGTGTGTGTCTATTGGCTCTTCGGTTTGCATATAGCATTTTTTAAAGTGATCAGGCACATCATTTGAATATTAGCTAGCTAGCTACTACACACATCCTTAAGAGCACCAATATTTCTGTCGCATGTTTGCCATACTGTAACATGGTTTGACACTGGTGGACGCTCCGATGACATATTTGTAAGAAAAACATAAATGGCGTATTTATGGTTCCCCTACTGAGCCATGTCATGGAACGCACGCTCTCATGCCTGCTTCCCTGTGGTCTGGCGTGATCGTTGTAATGACAGTCGTTCTTGTCATTATCAGGCAGAGCGGACGTTGAGGCTGGGGTGTGAGTGATCGCAATACGGAAACAGGCCCCGTGCGGAAGAACGAGCCGAATGTATTGTTCGGTGACTACAACAAATCTGGACAACCGATATGGACCCTCCACCAGAGCGCTCACAATTGTGTGTTTGTATTGCTAAGCATCTTTTTGATGTATTTATTTTTCGCTTTGCAATACATGCAACACATCAATCCTTTAAAAACTGCAGGTAGCAAGCCATTCACGAACTGGTTGAGACGAAATTCATAATTACATTTTTTTCCCTCAGTCGTGTGTAATCTACACGAGCATGTACAGATATCTTCCACTAAGGAAACTGATGTAAGTTGCATTGTACAGGTTAATGCTCTGAGAATTAAACAGTTGTCACAGGACGAAGGTTTTCTGCTGCAGGTGTCGGTCTGATTTAAACGCACAGAAAAAGACTTTTAGTTTCTAGCAAATACACTTTCCATCAGTGTGGAAAGTTTAACCAGCAGGGGGCGCTGTAGGATCTCAAATGGAGGTCAAACTGAACCTATTAAAGGAGTAGTTCAACCAGAAATGAAAATTTGGTACACATTTTACTCAGGCCATCCAAGATATAGTTGAGTTTGTTTCTTCGTCAGAACAGATTTGGAGAAATGTAGCATTACATCACTTGCTCAGCAATGGATCCTCTGCAGTGAATGGGTGCCGTCAGAACGAGAGTCCAAACAGCTGATAAAAACATCACAATAATCCACACCACTCCAGTACATCAGTTAACGTCTTGTGAAACCAAAAGCTGCATATTTATAAGAAACAGATCCATCGAGGCGTTTTAACTTCAAGCCATCACTTAGTCCACAATCCAAATAAAAGTTCCTCAAAAAAAATACAAATAAAATAAAGTGTCCCCCAGTTGGCCTCTCACATCAAAATTCACTAAACGTATTCATTTTGGCTTGAAAACGGTGCTTGATCGGTGCATATTTCCCTCCTGATTCAGACAAGACGACTTTTTCACTGGAGAATGAAATATTGTAAGACTCATATTTTAGCCGGATCAGTTAACGTCTTGTGAAACCAAAAGCTGCATATTTATAAGAAACAGATCCATCGAGGCGTTTTAACTTCAAGCCATCACTTAGTCCACAATCCAAATAAAAGTTCCTCAAAAAAAATACAAATAAAATAAAGTGTCCCCCAGTTGGCCTCTCACATCAAAATTCACTAAACGTATTCGTTTTGGCTTGAAAACGGTGCTTGATCTGTGCATATTTCCCTCCTGATTCAGACGACTTTTTCACTGGAGAATGAAATATTGTAAGACTCATATTTTAGCCGGAAGCAATGGTTTGAAGTTAAAGATGTCTTTATTTATTTCTCATAAACAAGACATTAATTGATAGGCTGGAGTCGTGTGGATTATTGTGATGTTTTTATCAGCCGTTTGGACTCTCATTCTGACGGCACCCATTCACTGCAGAGGATCCATTGGTGAGCAAATTATGTAATGCTACATTTCTCCAAATCTGTTCTGATGAAGAAACTCATCTACGTCTTGGATGACCTGAGGGTGAGTAAAACGTTTAGCAACTTTCCATTTTTGGGTGAACTATTCCTTTACCCTTTTTGCAAGAAGCTACTTTTACTTTTTACGCAAGTTTGAGCTCCAGTTAAAGTCAGTCCTCTTGCAAATACTTGGTGCATGTCCAATCTTGTTTCAAACAGCTTTAAAAAAAAAAAAATGTTTTGCAACCCCCAACACAACGTTAAGAAAAGACCCAAGAGGCACTGGTTTTAAAAAGACAAGACTGTTTTTTTTATTTATAATCCTGAACCAAACTATACAAAGCAGTGGTCAAAAAGCAACCAAAACACAATAAAAAAAAAAGTTTCGCTTGAAGGACTGAAAGAACACCAGTACCAGAATACAGTTCTGTTATAGATTGTTTTGTTTTTTTTCATTCTGCACTTCCCATATAAAACACAATGATAAAACAAAAACCCCAAAACTGTACATAAGGATAGAAAGATCCAATCCTTTTAAATGCATATGGAACAAAAGACCTTCAAGATTTAAAAAGGGGTTAATTAACATGTTAAGAGAGCAGGCGATGTGTTGACTAAGGAACCCCTCTCATTCATATGAGCCATCTGTTATGCTAACTGATCTGCCAAAGCGAGGGATTAACTTCTAGCAGCACAACCAGGTTAAACATTGTCTATTAGCCCCTGCTTAAAACTCATCTTTGGTCTTCAGTGGATCAGAAAAATGTCACCCATGAAAATGACAGAACCTTAGGCTTTCAGTTGCTTGTGTGTACATCCGCTGGTCAAATAACAGAGTAGAATGTGTGCTTGTTAAACGTTTGCTAAAGTAAACATTGTTTCTTTTAATACAGGGTCCTAATGTTGGTCCTACACCAATAAATAAGGTCTTACAAAAGGGGACAGGGTCATGATGTTATGGGCCTCAATAAAGCAATAAAAAGATCTTGTAGCGGCGAAAAGAAGGACTGTGAAATATACAGGAAAGCACAAACTCTACTAGGTCCAACTGACCATACAGACAGAGCTACTGAAGGGCGGCGAGAGCTTTAGGCTTGGACTTCAGCCTCTGTGGAGTCGCCGTTCTCTTCCGTCTTCTGTTTCTTTGTTTCGACTGCCTCCTGAAAGCAGACGAGCCAAGATTAGACGAGGTAAAGATGACGGAAATGTTGTGAAATGCATCTGAAACCCGAACCCACCTCCTCCTCAGCTGGACGTTTCACAGGTTGCCCATCTGCCTCTTCAGCGCCGTTCTCCTCCTCCTCCTCCTCCGCTTCTCCTGCTGTTAAAAGCCAAACGGATTTGTCAATAACCGGTTTCAGTACTAGTAAATTATGTAGTGATGACACAGGCAAAGTCAAACTCACCCTCCTCATCATCCCCACCCTCTTCGTCCTCACGGGCTTCCTCTTCCTTGTGTGAAGCACCATTAGTCTAAAACAGAGAAAGCACCTTGAGTGAAACCGATACCAAATCGGTTATATCACCAGATGATTTGGGGATTTATGAGCAAAGTCAGAGATTAAGTATCATTATGATAATCTTCAAAGTTTTCGGGAAGGTCAGTTATGTAAAAGCCATGTGCCGAGAAACCATGTGCACAGCCTTGAAGCCGTCTTCTCATAAGACGCATCTGTGTCAAGTCAGTTCGAACCCTAAACAAAGAGCAGCACGATGAAAGCGGGGGAGGGGGGTCTCCAACACCTGCGCGGCGAGAGGGTACTCAGGGACAAAAGCCACAAGGCCTGCTGGGAAATACTCAACGCTTACTGTTGTTATGCTAACTGATCTGCCAAAGCGAGGGATTAACTTCTAGCAGCACAACCAGGTTAAACATTGTCTATTAGCCCCTGCTTAAAACTCATCTTTGGTCTTCAGTGGATCAGAAAAATGTCACCCATGAAAATGACAGAACCTTAGGCTTTCAGTTGCTTGTGTGTACGTCCGCTGGTCAAATAACAGAGTAGAATGTGTGCTTGTTAAACGTTTGCTAAAGTAAACATTGTTTCTTTTAATACAGGGTCCTAATGTTGGTCCTACACCAATAAATAAGGTCTTACAAAAGGGGACAGGGTCATGATGTTATGGGCCTCAATAAAGCAATAAAAAGATCTTGTAGCGGCGAAAAGAAGGACTGTGAAATATACAGGAAAGCACAAACTCTACTAGGTCCAACTGACCATACAGACAGAGCTACTGAAGGGTGGCGAGAGCTTTAGGCTTGGACTTCAGCCTCTGTGGAGTCGCCGTTCTCTTCCGTCTTCTGTTTCTTTGTTTCGACTGCCTCCTGAAAGCAGACGAGCCAAGATTAGACGAGGTAAAGATGACGGAAATGTTGTGAAATGCATCTGAAACCCGAACCCACCTCCTCCTCAGCTGGACGTTTCACAGGTTGCCCATCTGCCTCTTCAGCGCCGTTCTCCTCCTCCTCCTCCTCCGCTTCTCCTGCTGTTAAAAGCCAAACGGATTTGTCAATAACCGGTTTCAGTACTAGTAAATTATGTAGTGATGACACAGGCAAAGTCAAACTCACCCTCCTCATCATCCCCACCCTCTTCGTCCTCACGGGCTTCCTCTTCCTTGTGTGAAGCACCATTAGTCTAAAACAGAGAAAGCACCTTGAGTGAAACCGATACCAAATCGGTTATATCACCAGATGATTTGGGGATTTATGAGCAAAGTCAGAGATTAAGTATCATTATGATAATCTTCAAAGTTTTCGGGAAGGTCAGTTATGTAAAAGCCATGTGCTGAGAAACCATGTGCACAGCCTTGAAGCCGTCTTCTCATAAGACGCATCTGTGTCAAGTCAGTTCGAACCCTAAACAAAGAGCAGCACGATGAAAGCGGGGGAGGGGGGTTTCCAACACCTGCGCGGCGAGAGGGTACTCGGGGACAAAAGCCACAAGGCCTGCTGGGAAATACTCAACGCTTACTGTTCCATTTCCATTGGCAGGTGCGTCTTCGCTGCCGTTTTCCTTTGCAGCCTCCGCTGCCTCCTCAACCACCTCCTTCTTCTCTTTCAAGTCCTGAAATGAAGCAGACGTTTATCGGTTAATAAATAAACCCCCTCCGACTACATAAACAATGCAGCGTGTGAGTAACTCATAGGTAGTAAAGGGGAAAGTTTGTTTCCTCGAGTTTCTTCCCCACCCACGCACACAGATGAGCCACGGACCACACACACCAGCTGGCTGACTGCCTTTCAAAATACATTCAATGGCAAACCAACACGAGGGTGCCATTGAAAACCGCCTCATTTTATTTTTCATAGACGTAGTACGAGCATCATGTAGTCGCAATGGGTCACCTTCTAAACGTTGATCGCAACTCAATGTGTACTAATATGAAATTATGTCAGAAAAGGTTGCATGCGTTTAACTGGAACCGCTATTCAATGGGGGAAAAAATTAAATCCGATTTTTTTTGTTGTTGTTGTAATGTTGCCTGTGTTTTTTCTCTGAAATCTGCACCACAATAGATCTATTATAGAGACAATCAATTCGAGCTCACGCCTTCGTGAATTAACTCTATTGTTCCGACACACATGCCGAGGTCACTTAAGGTCATTTCGCGCGTCTTTTACTCCCCGGTATGAAACGTGTACGCGCATGCGCGCTCACGCGCCGGGCTGGAAACAAAAGGAGGCTGAGCGCGCGCTAAGACAACGTGCGCGAGAGACTGGCGCGAACGATTACAGCGCGCGGCGGCGATCTTCCCGCCTATTCGAGCGGCGGAGATCAAGAGCCTTGACTTCACACACACACACACACACGTTCAAAGACAGAAAGAAAGAAAGAAAGAAAGTGTGGCAGATAGTTCACCAATTTACCCCCCCCCCCCCCCGGAACCCTCTATTTAACGTTAATAGGATATGATTACATATATGGGAATATAATGTCGAATTCAGTCCTCGAAGAGGGTTTTTTTTACTTAATCTTGAACGGAATGCCTAACGGTTGTCTATTTAATCATTCATTTATTAAACACGATTCGGCGCGAAGTGTGAATTAACGGAAAAAAAGGACGCTGGTGTTCAAAGAACACCGTTTTAACATTTTCTCGATAAGAATAACATATATCGCTGATAAAACCTCTCACTGAGTGGTCGCTTCGTCTCTCTTTAATTACCAGGAAGGTCTAATTTCTTCAAATACGAATGTTTCAAGCAAACGTACCTTCGCGGTGATCTCTGGGGTGGTGGTCGTATCGACAGCGGTATCAGCCATGGCGCTTTATAGAGACGTTTCGCAGAGAAGCGGTGGGATGAGGTAGAGCACGGTCTGCCGCGAGGAGGAAGAGTGAATCAAACCTGACTGAAGCCGAGGACTGAAAGGCGCGTCGCGAGCAGCGCCAGCCTCGCCGACATCTGATTGGACAGCAGCGCGGTAACGTAAATCCGTTCTTCGATGTGATTGGAGAGACCGCTGTCAATTGTGTTATGAAGACCCGCCCCACTTGTCTAGTTTTATTGGTGGAATATTTAATTTTACCTTTTACCCGGTCTTTTAAAAATGCTGTTATGAGTATCTAAAAGGTCAGGATGAATTAAACTATTCTGGTGACTTAAATATACATTTCTGACAACGTTTCTGTTTGTTTGTTTTGGTGCCTTATATTCGTTCTCCTTGTGTACATTTGAAGAGATTGCTAACTGAGTGTTTTCTTTTAGCAATAATATAATGAATATGTAAATTCATTAGCACAACCTTCTTTCTTTTTCTTTCAGGTTTGAGGAAGAACTGGTATATTTGTGTTTTGGTTGCCATTATTGCCCGTTCTTTTTGAAAACTGCAAATGGTTCACTGTTTCCCTTGACCTTTTTTTTGACGTCCTCTCTTGATAACTGTTTTGTGTGGTTGGAACCTGCCTCCGAGTCTGCATAGATGCATTTAAGCTTCTTTGGGGGCTTTGTTTACAGCCACGGTTTCATTAGCATGTTGTATTCAGAGGCCATTGTGTCCCAGATGGAGACGCACCAGGCAGCTGTTTCATTCATAATGAGAAGTCACACTAAGATGCTAACATGTCTATTCCACACCATCAGACATCTCGGCACAGATAACCAACTGATTTATGGCTTGAAAGATAAGCTATACGGTCATTCCGGCTTCTCTGTAACACGAAGACTAGCCTACCTGTTGCACAAGGAACAGATTGCGGCTGCAGTTAGTAATGTTGCCTACCTCCCCCTTCAAGGGCTCCCTCACATCTGTAATTCCTCAAAAGAAGTAAGTACTCTAGTATACTAAACTATATATAATATTCTTTCCTAGTAAACAAAAGATATTTTTAGTCACAAGTGAGGTGGAACTTTTTCCTCAGGATTTTCCTTTGCGCACACTGAGATAAAGACTCCCCTCCCCATCTGAATCTCATCAGATCTGCCATACCGTGGTAACAAAGCCCACTTGGTGGTCACAGATGGTGTGGGCCTATGGTGTGCTCTGTGTGGGGTCAGCGTGTAGTCTTTGTTTTATCAGATGGAGTGTTATGCAGTACTAGACCATTGATTTAAACCTCAGCTTTGACTCCCATGTAAATGAGAAGCTGAAAACAGTGATTTGGAGACTAAAGCTTTATTCAGACTAGTTTTTCTTAAGGAGCCGAGGTAAATTTGTGTTTTGCAGATGTACTTTTTTCACAACTTTGGTACAAACAATTTTGACACAACGAACATACTACTTTTCAGGTGTACTCTAATGAAATCTTGAGAGGAATATAACTTTTTGCTGCTATAACATTTACAAAATCAAAATGTATTTTGAAATGTGGCAAATTTTCTTGCTGTGTAAATCTTGTGAACGTATGCCTGGTTCACTTTCATTTTGGATTAGGCATTCTGGGTAAAATAATAGCTTGTGGTTCATCTCATACTATTAAAAAAAAAAAGTTCCAAAATGGGGTGTTCAGTGGTTCCACTCTTAAAAATAAATGTTCTTTATTTGCATTTATGGTTCCATGAAGAAACATTAACATCCATGGAAACTTTCCATTGCACAAAAGATTTTTAGATTATTCAAATGTGCTTGTTAAAAAAATTGAATGTTTCATTTTAATGAATGGTTCTTTGAGGTTCTTTTATGGCATCAGTGCAAAAATCTTTTTTATTTTCAAATTTATTTTTAAGAGTGAAGAACAATTTTTGGTTCCCCAAAGAAGCCTTCAGTAAACAGACCTTAAAAGAAAAAGGTTTTCTTTGTGTAAAAAAAACATTATTATAATAAAAAAATACCTTTTTCATTATAATAGCAGATGTTGACGCTGAAGCAAAGCAATGTTTTGAAACCACCATATTCTTAACAAGTAGAAAAAATAATATGAAATGAACATACACATAATCAGTGCAAAAATCTTTTTTATTTTCAAATTTATTTTTAAGAGTGAAGAACAATTTTTGGTTCCCCAAAGAAGCCTTCAGTAAACAGACCTTAAAAGAAAAAGGTTTTCTTTGTGTAAAAAAAACATTATTATAATAAAAATACCTTTTTCATTATAATAGCAGATGTTGAAGCTGAAGCAAAGCAATGTTTTGAAACCACCATATTCTTAACAAGTAGAAAAAATAATATGAAATGAACATACACATAAAAAAAAAATAGTAATTTTATAATTCCATATCATAATTCCATCTGCATCAGTACAAGAAATAACATTAACAGCAGTGCCACTCAAAAAATGAATCCCGTCAAAACAGCGCTTTAGAAGGAAAACACAAGTCTTTAGATTGAAGAGTGGATGTAATTAGTCCCCAAGATGAAAGTGTTATATGCATTCTTAAAGGGGTCATATGATGCTACTAAAAAGAACATTATTTTGTGTATTTGGTGTAATGCAATGTGTTTATGCGGTTTAAGGTAAAAAAAAACATTATTTTTCACGTAATGTACATTATTGTTTCTCCTCTATGCCCCGCCTTTCTGAAATGCGTCGATTTTTACAAAGCTCATCGGTCTGAAAAGCGAGGTGTGCTGTGATTGGCCAGCTATCCAGTGCGTTATGATTGGCCGAATACCTCAAGCGTGTGACGGAAATGTTACGCCCCTTACCATACTGTGATGCCATGTCCCGGCGCAATGAGACGACAGCAATAAAACCCATTACAAACGAGTCGGGTTGAACTGTTCTGGAACAGTGTTGTAAATACAACTTAACCACTGATTTCTAGTTGTGTCCTCTTTTGGAAGACCAAACAAAGTAGTTTCGCTTTCACAACGAAACACGCAGCGTCACACACGGTGGGCTTGAGTGAGGAACGGCCGACTGGCTTGCGGCAAACACATGTGACGACCCCGGGCTGGACTCCGCTTCGTCCACGGTGAAAGCCGATCCGGCGATCCACAGCGCGAAGTTGATGTATTTCCTCAGCGACCAGCACGGTTCAGCTCTAGGCAGGATGAAGTAGATATCATCCTCTTTTGGAAGACCAAACAAAGTAGTTTCGCTTTCACAACGAAACACACAGCGCCTTCACGACATGGCGGCGGCGGCAACAACAATACTACAACGAGAATAAAAGTTGCGCCTTCTTTCTTTGCGTGAACATTTGGGCGGCGTTATGCAAATCTTCCCACATCGTGACGTAGACATGTGGGGGCGTGTTAGAACGAGCCGTTTTAGGAGGGCGTGGACAAGTCTTAACTTTTATAAAGAATATCTCTTTGGATTTGAGACTTTAGTCTTTGCAACTTTAGGGATCTTATCTATACACAAACAGCTTGTAACACTCCAAAGAGAAAGGTAAATGTTAAATTGCATCATATGACCCCTTTAATCTGAGGAGGTCTTAAAAGCTTGTGTTTGGATTGGTGGGTGGAGACACATCAGACTGACAGAAAATGTATTCAATCTCATGAAGCCCTTGTTTGAGCTTGGACGTAAACTCAGTGGAACACATGCACATATAGAGGCTCTTTCATTGGGGAAATGAAGACCATATGTAACACACACCGAAACAGCCGTCTGTTGCTGGAAGCCCACATCTGCCGTACAAATCCAGACAAGTAACAGACGTTTTTTTTTTTTTTAAGAAAACACTTCTTGTCCAAGCATTACTCATTCCCTGCAACTGGAAAATGGGAGCAATCGTAGAGGAGAGAATCTTTGTTAGGTCATTTCCTGTAGTTTTTTTTCCTTCCAGAAGACCCACAGCCAGCCCACGAGCTAGATTTGTTTCCATGGATACTGGAACAATTCCAAAGATTGCCTGCTGGTTTTTAGTACACTCTTTGATGAAGGAAAGCCTTGGAATAACTAAAGATGGGAAGAAGAAGAAAAGAGCCAACACGTTCCTGTAATCCTCACATCTACTTTCATGCAGTACGACTAGTTACCCTTTCTTTCTTTCCTGGGATATCAAAAGGGCGTAGTTATGCTGTAAAAATAATATATTTTTTCGAAGTTTAAATAATGATTATGTGAAAATTGTTTCTGCACGCCAAATTTTCAGTGAAACTGCAAATAAAGATCTGAGATGAAATCAAAATCTACATAATTTACTGTCTTAAAGAGACAGTTAGCCCAATATAAAAATGTGGTCATCATATACGCACCCTCAAGTTTTCCAAACCTTTAGAGTTTCTTTATTCTGTCGAACACAAAAGAAGATATTTTGACAAATGTGAGTTACCAAAAAGTTGACGGTAGCTATTGACTTCCATATTATAGAAAAAAAATACTATGGAAGTCAGATGCATATCTTCAGTGTAATTGCAAATACAAATCTGAGATGAAATCAAAATGCACATAATTTACTGTCTTAATGCATGTTCCTTATTGGCCACAATTTTTCAGTGCATGTCGCTCTGCCTCTGAGATGACTTGGCATTTCACCTGACATCACAAATCCCTCTTACTTCTCAACCTCTTGGAAACCTTCTGGCACGACAATACAATTGGTTCCCGATTAAAGGAGGCCTATTATGCCCCTTTTTACAATATGTAATATAAGTCTTAGGTGTCCCCAGAATGTGTCTGTAAAGTTTTAGCTCAAAACACCCCGCAAATCATTTATTACATCATTTTGAAAATGCCTATTTTGAGTGGAAGCAGAACACTGTTTTCGTGCATGTCTCTTTAAATGCAAATGAGCTGCTGCTCCACGCCCCCTTTTCAAGAATAGGGCTGTGCCTTTACAGCTCGTTCCTCAGATACTCTGCTAAAAACATCTGTTTGGTTATCATGTCTATTGCACTGAAATCATGTTTTTTTTAAAGCCATACATTTCTGCATGCACACTAGAGGTGGTTTAGCGAATCACAACACACTGGGCCAGCTAACCAATCTGAGCCCATTGTGTATTTCTGAGGGAGGGGCTTCTTAAAAAAAGGGAAATGATCAGAGCGTTTATCGGAGAAGAGACAGAGCAGTGTAGAATAAAGGTAAATTATGTGAGATTTTATTTTTT